CAGCGTTGAACGGTGCACACTCGGTAAGTAATCCTACAATTTTTTGTTTATAGCGTAGTTTATACAGATTATTTCCAAAAAATATATACGTATTTTGTAAATGTTGAGTCGGATTAGTCTAGAATCGATTAATTTTATGGAAGAAAATCTTTCAAACAGCCGTAGTCTGTAAACTTCACACGTGTCGAGCTGTGATTGGAAGGACTCGTAAGAAATCGGATTCCTAAAGAATGGAACGTATCTACTGTCTTATAGGGGGGTCGACTGTATATGAATCTGCATTTGCATTTATTTTCTCATTTTGATTGTGCAGAATATCTTATAAGCTACCAAAATATCTACACTCAATGCGAATGTCGTAAGTAATGTAATTTCCTGTTAAAGATATAAAATTATTTCGTCCCAAATACAGTTCCTGTACCGAATCGAGTAAAATTGTATACTTTATGTAGTATTTTAATTAACTTGTAAAAAATAAAGTTTGCTTTAATAATCTGGATTAAATTTCTAACTTTGTTTAAACACCGTCATTCGATTTTTTCTTTATTCAGGCATCAGAACTATGATTTTCACAGTTAATATTGTCATAGATAAGCAATAAAATACAACATAGAAAAGTGCAAATGCAACTATTTATTAAATAGATATAGCATACTATATACAGAAACATAAAATTATGCAAAGGACTTGCATACACAATATACGTAGCAATATAGAAATATTTAAATAATAATTTTATTTTCCATTTAATTTATTCACATCTTCACTTATAATTTCAAATTATAATCTTATTAAATGTTTCAAAAACCAAATATACTTTTTTCTTTAAATACGATATTAGCAATTACATTTTTTAATTTTATAAGATTTTTCTTGACGGAATCGTAGAACGAATTATAAAACTACTGGGAAATAAGAAAAGTTTCTACCGACCAAATGGATAAAACAACTTCCCGCCTCGAAGCGACTTCGGCGCCGGCTATCGGCTACTCGATACTTTAATTCTACTTTAGAACATAGCTGTGGGACCAGTATCAGTCGACTCCGCTACTACTTTAATACTTGTTTGCAATTTCCTACCTAATTTGAATGGTGCCAGTCATTGGTAGAAGTAAGTTTATCCTAATACTTAATTGGGCTGAAATTTCAAATTGCCGACCTATAAATTTCCACTAGGTTCCGTCTAACTGTCATTCCTCCATCTCGAAAATGGACTTAGATGAAATTCGAAAGTAGATACGGAAAGCATATGGGCAGGATGCTCGACTAGTTATGTAAAAACTTCCAGTTTGGTCCGAAAATCGCTTTATTTTGTGAGACCGCGGATTTTAAATTGGGAATTTTGTAAATGAAAGAGAACTTTCCCTTTTTCGTTGATCGAAATTTTGTAAACATTCCCATTAGAAAAACTCCTCGCGGAGTATCAGAGCAGAGTTCTCCTTTAACTATTAACAGTTAGGTAGGAAAGTTGACACTTAGCTGTCATGAAATGCAAGTCATCGTCAACAAACGGACGGCTTTCCCACCCTAACACTCTAAAAGCTCGCGCTACATGAAACATACGGCGGATCAACCCAAGGAAGTTTATTTCTGTACTTGTGTCGTCGATCTTCATGTTCAGGAACGGAATCCTGTCGGAGAAGACATAAGACCGCCATACCTCAGCCATCCACTCCAATCTCAGACATAGAGGTATTTGTTAAAACTTTGTGAACTCTCTCCCCCAAGTAGCATTTTGATCAAATTTAACCGCATTTAATCGAGTAGCGTTTAGTCCGATAGACTTGTAACCGAATTTTGTATGTTAACTTTAGTTAATCAATAAATGTTCTGTTTGTTAACCTGTCGACCTGTCGATCCTTTTCCCGGAAAGACACCTGTTCACTTGCTCGCGATCTTCCCACTCTCTTTTTGCCCTCCTAAGCCATCCAGCAATGCCGAGATCGGGTTTCAACAACCTGTGCAGTGTAAGTGGTCTGTAGGGATCGTTTCTCTGGCCCTCTGCTTGTCTCACAATTTCAATTCAAACATTTTCTCCGAACAGAATTAGACAGCATGGCTGTATTGTTAACAGGAGAAGTATGACGTACAGGAGGGAGAGCATAATAATTGGTGGTATTTTATATATTTATATTACGCGTGAGTTCTTATACTATTCTGATTTACAAGGGTCTTATTCCTAGGGGAGGAGATCTACTGTCTCACCACACTTCGTATTGCAGGTGTAGGCCTAATATCAGGAAATAAATAATTCTAATTAAGGTGAAGGACAATATATGGAAAAAGTAGATTTCGTAAATAAACAATGTATACGATAATAAATACCGAAACTAGACAAGTTGTATATGTAATAAAACAAAACTCAGAATTGATTTTTTCAGATTAAAAAACTCATACAACGATTTGAAATTAATAATGAAAGTTTATATTTTAATTTCAAATATAATTTATTTACTTTGATACTAAATTAATTATCTGATTATTCAGCTTTTAAAGTTATAAATTTTTTTCAGCAAATCGTTACTCGATGATGGAGGTGAAAACCTTTCTCGCTACTCTTCTTAGAAACTGCACCGTCGAAACCTTTCCTAAAGAGATTTTACCAAAAATGTTTCACATTTCGTTAACCACGGCGGAACCCGTCTTGATCAGAGTCTGTCCAAGAATAAAGAAACGATGAAAGCAAATTTCTCGTATCTTAATAAGTTCCGTACGTGATGGAAGAACGAATTTAATATCATCCTCAATTTTTCATCCGATGACGATTTATATTCAACGTATTATTAAAATATTTTTATTGTCGCAATTTTTATTCTAATAAATTTTTAGTCTCATTATTATCAATTACCAATGCAAAATTTTTATTATTATTAAACAAAACACGACGTAAAAATAATTTCTAATTTCAATTGAACTTTATTGAACATTGGGGATTCCCCATTATCCGGAATACAGTTTATCGGCCGACTGCGTTTAGAGTTAACTATGGGTTAGTATCTCCACTTTTCGTTCTTCCGAAGAAAACCCTACTTTAAGTCGTGGGAGCACGAAAAACTTTGGTTAAAGGGAGAAGAGGAGGTCGATTTTCTGGAAATTTTACACTAATAAAAATACAAGTAGCAAGTTTTAATTTAAATAAGGGAAAAAATCTGTTTAACCGGTACCCTCAACCTTTACAGTTGGTTCTTCCAGGGTTTGACGCAAAAAACAAGCTGCTATAATCTCAACAAAAGGTACACAAAATATCTATTGTTTGATAAAGTTAACGGAACAATAAATTGAAATTTTGACGCCTCTAAACGGAATGTTAAATATTATGTATCCCAGTCAAGTGTAATTGAGTCTAAATATCTTACACAGTGAAACCTGTTTAAAAGGAACTTGCCTAAATAGGAAATAAATGAACGGAACGATCCTCTATATGAAATACTATTGCACATCGGAATACTGCCTAATGTGAAAACTGAAGAGCTTTTGGGTACCAATTACCTAAAATTTTTGTATTCAACTAAGACATGCCGAGCACAGCCGTACGTCGTGGCTCCTATATTATTTTGGTGTACAGTCCCGTCTAAACTGCTCGGATTCTCTTTAGGAGATGTCTTATCCGGACGATGCTCGACAATGACATCAGAAATGTCGAATGTAATGCGTAGCGACGAAAAACTAGATTATTCCTTTTTTTTAAATTAAGGATGGTCTTTAGTTAACATCTGATCCATTGTTCTTTAAAACTCTGTAAATTAGAACCAAAAATGTATGTGAACCGCCGGGGTGGTTGGAGGTCTCCCTTTCCGACTACAGGTCGTTAAACCTGCTCACTCTCAAGATGGCTTAAATGTTTCTTTTACTTATCCCGCGGTAACGAGATTTAATTGTTCGGGTCGAGTGGAGAAGGTGAGAGGGGTCGTCGATTAGGCGTAGGCGATATGCGAATAACTGACACCAGTTAATCTAGTATACTTCCACGTAGATGGGAAAAATTTAGTCCTTTTTGCTGGTGATCGACGCACAAGATTAGAATTCCTCCGAGACTTAACCCTTTCCGACGGCCGTAGATGTGAGACTCCCACGAGGAGAGGGAAAGCAGTCGCTTTTATAGTTTAGTCATGTGATCTCCTATTGTGAGAGGTAGAGTGGGTCCTACAGGTGTGGAGGTTAAAGTTGTTCCCGGGACCAAAACCAAATGACGAATTCGGACTTTAACTACAAACTTTTCGTCTTGCAGCAGAGGAATGTCATTGTTCGAGGGTTGAATGTTTATATTAACGAGGAAAGTTATAAGTTTCTATCGATATTTGATTTTTTTTTTTTGACAATGTTGTTTTAACGAGGAGGCGACAAATTTATTTCACATACGTCGAAAATGTAGAGGAAAAATGAACACTTTTAGCCTTACTTCGAGGTCGGATCTCACATTCACTCCACGCTTTCTTTAAAATCGCACTTATTATAGTGTGATTTTAAATCTTTTGATTGTTCTGTCTGGTTAGAGGTATGTTTACAGTGCCGGCCCGAGGCAAGTTTTAGGATGGAGCGAGATCCTATTATGGCGCCCGGGGGTGGAACCCCGTCCACGCACTCAACCCTCGCGCGTCTCAACAAATAAGGCCATTCACATACTGGTCACATGCTTGCAATTAAAATATCGAAAAGTGAAAAAAATATTTTTACCTTTAATTTTCTTTACCACTTAGGCGCCCCCTAGGACTTAGCGCCTGGAGCGGCTGCTCCGTTTGGCCTATGGTAGGGCCGGCTCTGTATGTTTACATAGATAATAGTTTTTTTTTCTCTCTCTCTTGGAAAAAATTAAGTTTTTTTTTGGTTATATAAAGATGCCGCGTCAAAGTAATAAAAGAGTTCGATGTGAAATTTAACACTATAGCTATACAAATAAATCCGGGCACGCGACAATATTTATTGCTCGTGACAATATTTATTGCTAGAAGTTGAAGGACGGGTGTCTTCGAACTGGAATGGTTGATTGGTCAGTTGAAGTTCTCATTGTCCTGGATACGAGAGTAATGGTTCAAAGTTCGAGAGGGGTGAGTTTCCGTTAGACAGTCTTTGGAAATTCCTTTGTTCTGGTGAGCTGGATGGTTCGTAGGATGATGTTCGCTGTGAGAACGTATGGATATTAATTACTAGCAGTCCCCGCCACGCGTTGTTGTGGCTCAAAATGTATCTATTATAAATGTATAACACTTCCCCGTGGGGGGAGAGAATTTTTCGAAAAATTTCTTCTTAGTGTACATTCTCTTGATGTACCCTATTAAAACGCAATCAAAAACGCAAAAACCCGCATCTAAAATAATATAATAGAAGCCAAGTTCTTCACGGTAAGCTTTAATTCTGTTTCTCTCCCCCGCGGGGGAATATCGAAAATTCCCTTCTTAGTGTACATTCTGTTGATGTACCCTATTAAAACGCAATCAAAAACGCAAAAACCCAGATCTAAAATAGTATAAATAAAAGCAGAGTTTTTTACCGTAAGCCTTAATCCTAACCATCTCCTTTCAGTGGGGGGAATTTCGACATGTATATTATATAAAAACACGTGCGTATTCGAATGCGGCGTTGTGTCTTTATTTCAAAGGAATCTGTTGGAACAAACGAACATTACATTTTTATTTATATAGATAGAAGATGATCCGCTTTAGTTCATTTTCACAGAAAAGCATAATGCCTCACAGAAAAGCAAACTTAGGGCGTCGTACTCGTAGCGCCATCTGTTGGACATAAAAGCCTTAACCTAGATTATATATTTTAATTTATATGAATGTTTAACGGAATAATATACAGCCTATGTCCACCCTGAAGTTCC